ACAATATGTATATTGTAGCAGGATAAAAGTCATATTTTAATTCGAATTATTATTATTCGTTCTATTCGAATTATTCGAATTATTCATTCTATTCTAATTCGTTTATTCGAATAAAACTTTCAATATAATTCGAATACTCAATTTATAATGAAAAAAAAAAAACAAATAATTTGAACCATTAAATGCGAGATATTTTAATAACAATAGTAAATAATAGTAATAATAATAATAACGATAGTAGTAGTAATAATAATACCGTCAAGCTTAGTGTTAGTACCAACGATTTATTTGATCAAGACATTTGCTAAGCAATTTTATTTGACTAAGCCATTCATTGGTCACATTACTACACTTGATTGCGTGGGGTGTGAATAACAATTCCTAAATTTAATATTCATATTAATATTAAGGATTAAATGACGTTTATTATTATAATATAAAATAAGAAATGAAATAAGAAATATAAGGAATAAATAAATAAAGATATGAATAAAGATATGAATAGAAATAAAAAGATTCGATTCGGAATTAGGGTATTTCGACTAACAAATCAGCTTTAAATCCTAATTCCATTAACAACTTCATGCAATTTGAAAACAAAAATTCACTTTCATTTTTTTTATAAATACTCTTACAGTAATCCTATACAATTTGAAAATCAAGAAAAACTTGACAACAATTATCTGAACAAATCAAAATGAAATTCAATATTTCTCTTCTCTTTTTGATTATCTTTGCTGTGGTGGCTTTAGCAAGCTCAACTCATAACAATAATTTGGTGAAGCGAAGTAAATATCATTATATTCATATAATTGTTTTTAAAAAATTACTAACTATTGGGTTTCATTTGATTTTAAATAATAAATAGGCCTGTAAGTATTTTTGTACTATTATTATAGTCAATATCATTGTTTTTTGAATAAATATTAATTATTGGTTTTCATTTTATTTTAAATAATAAATAGTGTAAGTATTTTTTGTACTTTTATTACACTCAATATCATTGTTTTTGAAAACATATTAACTGTTGGCTTTCATTTTATTTTAAATAATAAATATAGACTGTAAGTA